TCATGCTGTCGATGATGATGATGATATTTAGCCCCTTTTGGACGAATAGTTCAGTATTTGGACTCCTCGTCGCGAGGTAGCGGGTTCGACCTCCCCTTGGTGTAGACTCAACAGGATAATTGCTTTAGGACAGGAGGACTACTGGTCAAAGGGAATTAATGTGAGCTTTTATTCCACAGTCGAATTAATTTGCCGTTGTATCTCCTCAGAAGATGCTACTAGGATTATGGTGCTGACGTATCCTGTGGCCAGAAATGACCGGAACGAGACAGATGTAAATGGTGAACTATGTCGTCTTTTCCGTTTTAACACGGACGTTACATAGCTCATCGGGAAGAGTTACGTAAGTCCGTTCCTTCTGCGTTTTAGGTTTGGGTGTTGACTGGAGACAAGGAAGAGACGGCAGTCGCAGTGAGCCAGGCGGCTGGACACTTTTCCGAGTCAATGACACTGCTCCGTATAACCGGTTGCAAAGAATTCGATGAAGCTGCCAGACTGATCTTCAGCAGTCTAAATGAGATTGATCCCGAATATGATGAGGTTGGCTATGATGATTCGAAAGAAGAATTAGAAGAAGACGTCTCGGAGGATGTACGAGGTGGAAAGAGGACGTTGAAAAAAATAAGAGAGAAACTGAGAAATCTTAAAATATCGGCTTCCGTCACTAAGAAAAGACGGAAACGGAAAGATTCAACGGAAAGTGAATTGTCCGAGGGAGCGTTTGGCTTGGTAGTTGATGGAGAAAGTCTGCAATATGCACTGCATGCAAGTTCCATATTTTTAACAGTTATTTGACGTCCTATGGGTAAAAAAGTTGTTCGCTGAGTTTGGCAACTTTACTGCAAAGTTCAGTCCCTAATCGGTGTGATATCAGCGCGCTGTTGTGACGTAATACTGAATACCTTTTGAAGTAAAAATTACTACAGATGATACAGATGGTACCTAAGTAGGGAAGGGTAAGCCACGAACTGAAATGAAATGTTTTCATGTTATCACAAAGGCCCAATTCGTTGTACTATAACTCGTGATGCGCTTAATGGTGGTTTTTTTTATGAAACTACTGAACTTTGCCTCCATCTGGCGAAATAAACCACAGTCCATTTGCTCCGATATACTGCTATACACATTGGTTTACTCGTATAGGTGACTTAAAGTTTCCAAGTAGTGAAATGTGTGATTTCCAAGGCTGGCGGTAGCGTGCGATTTCATTTATTTGATCACATCTCGATCGCCAAATTCAGCACTTTGCTTCTGTGAGAACACATGATTCATTGCAGAGGCATCCGATACCAATGAGTTCCCTTCTGAACGCCAATCGGCAATGGAAATCTGGTTTTAATGTCCCAATTTACAGTTATAACAGTCCAACCAGAATTACTGTCAATTTTTCGACTCGCTGTTTAATTCTTTACAAAAATATGTATTTGAAACACCCAGCTTCTAACACCTAATGAGCCGTTGCTCCTCCCAAATGATTCCGTAATCGCGAAGCTTTGAAGTGTATGAAATGAGAATGAACGCCATAAAGGAAGAACATTTGAAGCGGTTCAAGCCTATTGGGCATCATCGGAAAAACTTCGAGGATCGATCACCAGTGAGATGTACAAACGTATTGTTGGTTCACAAAAACGGCTGATTCCCACTCGCTCATTGCTAATGTCTCCTTGTATGATGACGGAGTGTTCACAGGCCGACTGTGAAATTCCGTGGACGTACCAATCCAACTCAAAGGAAATAATTTCAGCTGTGGCACCCTTTCGGTGCCTAGCTGCCATGCCACCAGAAGGAAGCACGAGGGTTAGGATACTGCTAGGTTCCCTAAGCCTAGACAGGGGAAATCGAGGGGCAGAGGTCGGGTTCGAATCACGGACCTTCCGGTCAATAAAGTCGCACTCTAAGCACTGGGCTATCTCGCCCCTCTGAGTTTATTTGCAAAGTCTGGATCATCCCACCTGTGTTTTCCATCATGATAATTTTTCTTCAGCACCTTACTTACCACAATCCCGGTTGACAAACAACTGTCTAGTTCTAAGCGGTAGGGAAGGTGTCTATATCGAAAACAAAACTTTAATTTAATTTTGCGCTCCAAAGTTGAGTAGGTAACATATTCACTGCATCTGTGCAAATATACTTATGGTTTATCCACATCTTTTGTCTTCCAGCCTTCACTGAGGATTACTTTTCTGGACCTATGCATGAGTGTTAACACTGTTCTTTGCTGTCGTTTGACACCGTTGCAAAAAGCCTCCATCGTAAAACTAGTTCAAATTGGACTGGGCGAGTCGAAACGTGGCGCTGGCCCGGTTACCGCCGCTGTAGGAGACGGAGGCAATGACGTGTCAATGATATTACAGGCAAACGTTGGAATCGGGATTTACGGACAAGAAGGTCGGGAGGCGACACGTGCTGCGGACTATGCTTTGCCACAGTTCAGGTGCGATTTTGTACTCGCAGTAATCTGTTTGATTCACCGCACACTTTGGCTTCACATATATTCAGAATGACAAACGCACATCATTAGAACTAAACGGTGAGCAATCAATCATTCTTCCGCTAAAGCACCGTGTTTCAATGGCGAGTAAGTAAACTGTCAAGTTGGTAGCTCTTGACTAACTCTGATTCCAGCGAACGACAGCTTCAAAAATCGATCGGCGTCGGTCGATAAATGCAAAGGAATGAGACATATCAAATAGCGACTCCACCAGAGGGCAAACATTACTGAATATGGGAATATGGTCAGACATTTTTTTTACAAAAAGTCAGTTTTGCCAAACAGAAGTGTCATGTGAATGCCCACCTGGCGCACCACTACTCATATTGACGTTGTCCACCCATACACGAAAGAATCTGTGAACAATCGAGATGAAACCCTCATCATTTTCGTCACAACTCGCTACACAAAGACGATGCTTAGGCGACCAAATATTTTACGAATTAGTAAAGATCTCGTTTACGACTGTCACCTGACAAATGACCTGATAACTAAGAAGACTACAATAATTTCAATATGGGGCTGTGATTTTCCAAAAACATAATGATTAAATACCCATCGACCAAGGAGTTGATCCGGCGAGGACAAATTTGCCACGCCTACTATCGATTTCATTTGATCTCGGTGAGAATGGATTTCAGAATTGCGTTGTTCGTCATCGGAGCTTCGTCAACCAGAAGGTATGCCCAGTAACTATATGCAGATTTAAACCGGTTGAATGGTTTGATTGAAGTAAACTAGCCTTCGGAAGCCTCCAGAAATTTACATGAGGGGCAGAGCAGACATAGAGTCTTCGTTCTATGATGCCTTCGCTTCCGAAGTATGAAGCGTTCAATATGTTTTCTCAGCTTAGGATGATCAGATAATAGAGGTGGACACAAAAGGGAATGGTGAACTGGACATCAAGGTGGGACATTGTATACTTCCAAGTGCCATCCCAGCACTGACTAGCTCTTGTCTGCAGGTGGATCGCTAGATATGCGAAACCACAAAAAGCCCCTGCTTGTTCAAGGTATTCCGTCTAACAGGGCGGTTTCTCAAGACTTACCACTTCTCTTGTAATTTCAGGACTTAGCCATCTCTACTAGAGGAAGAAGTACGGTCATCTTCATTGTGTCCATCACATTCCAGGAGCTCAATGCATTTATCATGCACCCTAGACCTAGGCCAGTTCCTCAGTACTATTGAGTCAGTGACTCTGGGTAGGATCCCTGGGAAAGAAACGTACTACCCGCTAGGTTATGGGTCAGGTCATAGTGGATCACATTAAAAGAGCTCTTTCTTTGGCCTGGACAACCGGGAGATATTATTCACCTTTACAGATCACTGACCTCCAACCTCAGCCCCTCCCCATTCACCAGGTCAGTTCATCGCCAGTTCCTTAACCACTGTTCCTTTTCTAAACTATTGCCGAGTAATTCAAACTGAGAAAAACCAAGTAACGGACTCAGAAGGACTAATCAGCGTTCCCTTCTTCATTGTCCGTACTCTATGTCGATTTGGAAAAAATGCATCTCTTGCTGAGACCCTTCTTGTCCTTTTCACCAACGTACCGCCGAAACAGGCAATATAAGAGGCCACTTAGGTCATGCACTTCAAGTCGCTTAATTTGAGATCAGATGTTTCACACCTCACTCTTAGGATATATTTGACGATCCCGATGTAATGGCTCGCGCTATGTACGGTAGGGAAATTGTGCTCAGCCTCAAGACTGAGAACGTTCCATTGCACTGGATCCCGGTAAACAGTCATCTTTGCGCTGTACAATTTTCTGGATCAATTAGGGTCACTGAAGCGAACGGTGCCTAGTTGTCATTTCATACTGCAGTTCTGAAGCGGAATTTGTCACGACTGTTTCGGTCATCATTCTGGTAAGTGATATGAGCACCCATCTTTGACTTAAAAGCTTGGAAGAAGCACAGTTAAGTGCCAGATTTATAGTCCATGCTCAGCCTACTGATAATGGGAAGCAACTGCTTTAGTTGTCGGCTAGTACTAATCTGTTCTTGGCCAGCACGAACTTCCAACAGAACGGCTCACATCAAGTTACCCGGAGGCCGCCAACCGCAAGACAGTCATGGACTCAGTCGGACCAGGTGGCTATCAGTTACCAACGGAGCGTCTCAAGGGTGAAACTCGTCGTGCCATTGTGCAAGAGCGGCAACCACTTCGCTTTCCGTAAGCATTAGGCGTGATGAAGCAGAGAAACTCTGTACAACTTCAATGAGTTTTAGTAGCTCAGTAGTACCAAACTGACCTGGCAGCGAAGCTACTGGATATGTACAGTCATGCTGATGGCAAAGGTGGTTTGATGACTAAATGAAAGCGAGTTAAAGAAATTACACCATCGGCTCCTGGAAGGGTCTATCCGAGTCATCCAGTTGGACTAATTGAACAGTGGATATCATCGAGATCAGAAGGTCTTATTGATACCATGCTAGGAAGAAGCGACCACGACCTCGCCAGCAGATCCCTCAAACGCCAGATTATCAACAGTCTGATTGAAGACAGAGAACCTTGGTTGGTTCTGAAGACCCAAGGGGGAGAAGGCATTCGCTTCAGGTAAAGGCCACACTACATTTTAAATGATTCGATCAACCAGCCAAATGAAGACGGGCGTCATCGAAACAACAACGTTAAGTAACTCGTTGAATTCACCTTTTCCATTCTGTTGGTATAGGAGAGTCCGCGGTCAGGAATGAGTAAGGGAGAACACCTTCTGGCCGCATGCTCCGTAGTGGTTCTCCCCACAACATTCCCAATATTTGGCTGAGTAGAAAGATGACTAAATGTGCATAACTATTAGTGTACTATTAGTGTGTTCAATCCATGTGTAAAAATTTTTTTGAAGATACGAATATTTAAGAGCTACCAAATGTTGTTTCTAACGATTCTCGCGGACAATTTGTGGCTGTCAGGCCCACGTTATTAGGATGTGAACAGGACAATCATGTTGGCTCTGAAAAGCAGCTCACCATGCGTTCCGGTCCATGTAGGTTGGATCGGTTTGCTTCTTCGAAATCAATCATGTATCTCCTTATTTAAAAGTTCTCGCCGGTTAGCAAAGTATCGCATGGCTACCATGATGAATATAAGCTACCACGATTTCTTGATTGAGCCTATGCGGCGCCAAAAACCCTTGAAAAAGGAATGTACTTACCTGATGCGTCCCACTCAGAACGAAATGTGTAGTGGACTGTTCTTCACAATTAGCAACATCCTGCTCCGTAAGCATCGATCCAGCTTCTTGTCTTCCTGCACACCGGGTGATCAAATTCCAACAGTTCCCACAACAGGTCAACAGTTCCGACAACTAATTACGTCAACACGGAAGTTTTCACGTACACAAAACAAGAGCATTGCGTATACAGTATTATTCCACATGTAATGGTTGTAATTAATCAGTAATGCACACACACTATTCTAGTGAAAGGAAGCAGGCCTTTGCTGCGAAGTTACTTCAAAATGTCAACTGACCGGTTACAGACCATTGAGCAAGAAAGCAAAACTCTCATTTGCATCCTATTTACAAGAACTGTACGTCCATCTTCTCCTAAGCGCGTCTTCTTGAACTTTTCTGGATATCCATTGACTGGAATCATTCATTGCTCAAATACAAGCAAATACTACAAAGCGACTCCACAAAATTCCGCAACAGATCTTCCTTTTCAAGAGACACGAAGCGAATTTACAAGAATAAAACGTACTACCCGCATGCCTCCCCGTCAGTAGTATCACCGTTACACCAGCAGCTGGTCAGGTAGGTGATGGCAGTGTTATGCAGGTGAAAAGGAGAAAAGCCTCAACATCAAAGATGCAACCTCGGTATTTGGGTGGAAAGTAATTCATCTTTGAAAGTCCACGAGACGTTGAGGTGTATAACCAACAGAATCAAAAGGGTTACAAAAAATAGTTATAACTTTTAGGTGAATATGGAAAATGAGACTTAAGACCATGAGTTGCATGGACTAGATGTGGTATTTTTCGTTCGAGATGAGTGGTTAGAACACGAAAGCTGTGGAATATACCACATAATTTTAGGAACAGTTACATCAGATGTATAAGGACACGACGATCTGGTAGAATATGACATCAACTATTCTGTCAGGAGCAAAGTTCTCCTCAAAGAAAACAAAAGCTCACACTACCGAATTCGACCGACCCCAAAGAGTTATTTCATCACAATTTCTACTCATAGACAATTTGAAAATGAGACGAACAGTGCAAGCTGATTAGATGTGTGAATGACGTTGCGGTTGGAGGACCATCCTTCACCGTACTAGACAGGCACATGTTTGCTAATGAGTTAAAGCATAAGAGGTAGCTGCAGCAGTGTACAGGCACATGTTTGCTAATGAGTTAAAGCCACTTGTAAGTCATCATAAGCATAAGAGATAGCTACAGCAGTGTTGACGCTAATGCTTTTGTGCCGTATAAACACAAAGTTAATTAATTATCTTCAAAACAGAAAAGACCCATTAAGGGTGGGACGTGGTGCTGTTGATGTGTCTTGTTGGACGGTCGTGCAACTCCATATCGGCAACTTAGCTTCCTGCTCCGCCCACTATAGGCACGGCAGCTTCAGACAGGCCCTTTTGGAGACAAATGGAAGTTGCTACAACTGTATTTATAGGATAACCACAGAATGTTCCACAAGGTCGTGCTAGAATCTCCGTGAAATGGCGAAAAGCATCGAGCTAAGATGTTCAATCCAGATTGGCTGGCATTCTGGCCAATCAGGGCATGCCTTCGTTTGGTCCGTATCCTGCACATGACACATCCGTCCATATGATGTGATGTTCGGTTATTAGGGACGGTTGACCTCCGGGCACCTGTAACAATCTTTTTGAGGCGCCTACACCTCCAGTCGCTTCATCAAACAGTCTGCAAAGAAACCTATAACAAGCACTCCACTGATGTTGATTGGTCACCATTTCTCGTGATGCCTCGAGTCAAGAGCTGGTCACCGTAACCCTATTCTGGAAGACGAACTGCACCATCAATACCTAAATTCTTCGTAACCTCTTTTATACCTTTATGCCAAGTCACGCGTTGCCCCCCCCCCCAACCTTTTACGTTATTACGGAGGCACGGAGAACAAGGCTCCCCTTGGTAGACAACGTTTTGACATGCGTGGCCGAGCCGGCACAACTGGTGGTGCTGGATGTTTTCTGCGATTAAAGTACCTGCTGCACAACCAAGTGGCCGATTTCTTATGACTCCATTACGAATCCGTTGGTGCCATGCTTCTGAAAGATCGGTGGTCAAAGCCTCACATTATCTCTCCACGGATGCTATGTCTTACCAACCATACAGCTACTACTGTATCCCGGCACACGCAACCCTTGAGACCCAGTGATGACCATTGTGACTGAGGATGTTTTAATTCTGCACTGAACTTATTAGACACTCCATTCTGAGCCAATTCAATTACTGATGTATGCAAGATTCCCCACAACATCCAGTGCTTCTCTTTGAATCATGGCGAGCATGCTTGTCGATGGGTGCAATGCTCAATCCATTCAAGTGCACCGAGGTTGCGTTCATCCTGATGTGGGATGGACGTCTTCACTTTATCTCACCTGCTATGGCCCTATCTACCTGGTTGGCTA